TTACTGATCTTAATCTATACATTTAATCTGCCCAATCTTAAAGGCATTTTTAGATTGACGTCAGAGAACAGCATTTTCTGGCGTCGTAATAGATTTTGCTATGTTGAAGTACAAAAGAAACTGAAAAATCTCGTTTAATTTGTCGAACACCCATCGAAACAAAAAGATCACGCCTCTGCCGACCCCCAACAAAATCATCCAATCTGTGATCAATTCCATTTGCGGGTAAACTCGTTAAGAGTTACACCTGAACAGCTTCAGAGTTCAGAAAATTATTTATTATTCTGCAATATAGTCGGAAAGCCACGTTTTTACCAGCCGAGCAAAATTGGCGCCGAATCGTGACCTTATTAAACTTTCAAAGCGGTTTTTGGCGAGGAGTGGCGGGTGTTGTGAAGTGTGGGGAGGCATATAAAAAAAAAAGAAGCTGGAAAAATAAAAGCGCAGGAAAACTTCTCTGCCAAATGAGACGTGAGTTCACGGGGAAATATCAACAGTGGCGAAAGAAAAGGTAAAAGATGGAATTAAGGAATGATTTCTAGTACATTTTCTCTTCGAGTAAAAGGTAATAAACTGCGATGGGTTCGCTCGAGCACGCAGCGTCGAAAAGTGGACCATTATTTTAAAGTTTTATTGACTCATTGGCTTGTAATATTATATCTATCTTCATTACTAAACGAAAGGGAGGCATAATTTTGATGACAACCACAAATGGAAAACATACATTTGTTGATGGAAGCAAATGAAAAATGGGATTTTTAAAGATTAATCTTACATTTGAAGAGATCAGAGGTAGAAATCTGGATACTGGAAAGGATGTTATTGAATGAAAAAATACGTTCTTTAAGGTCCATGTTTCCATGAACTTGTTTTTGAAGTTTTGAATTACTGCTTAAAATGAATTTAAATTACGTCATTTATTTTTATTCTGATATGGAAACTTTAGACACATTTAGTTGAAAGTTGTTTGAATGAAAATTTATTACAGGTCATTTGAAATACTTGGATACGCCGAATAAGAAATTTGCGTGTGTAGATTTTTAGAAAATTCGGTTCGTCTTTGAAAATACTACAGGTACTTTGTACCACCATCAACTTGACTTAATCATAGTATACGAGCATACGTCACACATTGGTGGATTTGGCAACATTGGCGATGTTCAGGATTACCGTAAAGTGTGCAAACTGTAGTCATAGATTCGTCGATTCTTTACAGAGTTGAAAGTACCCAATTAACTTAAATATATTCTATAATTTTAAATAACGAAAACATATTTAGCTTCTTAGCACCTAGAGCAAATTAGACAACAAAAATTTTAAATTAAAACCAATAATATTTTTTTAATTATTATTAAATTAACCAATTGTTGTAAAATATCACGATTCATTTTAAAATTTTGAAATATTGAATCCACCATATACATTTTGAGTTGGCGTTCTTATTGATCTATTTGTAACTTATGTTCACGTTGTTAATTCACATGTAGCCTTAAACAAAAAACGATATTCAACAGCTATGAACAACGTACTTGCAGCTTTGCAAAACCACGACAACAAAACGTAAAGATACGCAAGATCTAAAAACGCGAAGTTGCTTTAAACTTTACATGTGAGGTAGATAATACGGAATATAATGTAAATTTGAGAAATCTGCCTATTATTATAGTACATAAGTTATGACAGGATTTTCCTGGTAGAAAAATTGGGGGATCAATAATAAATCTTGTTATTAATGAAACTGATTACATGTAATTTTTTTATTAAACAAATCTGCACCCTTTTTCCAATGGGAGGGCAAATTCGGTGAATATGAGTAATTGCGAATAACTTTTTTTTAATATTTTTCATTCATCTGAGTAAAACCCAATGTTGTCTGCAAACTTTATTTCCTTTTTAATTTACACGAAAATTTGTGCAGTTTCGTTTCCTATTTTAAAATATGACTGAAAAAATAACCTTGCCTATTTTTCTTACACATTGTACAATTATTTGCAAAAGGAATATACAGATAAAGAAATAAAAATGTCTTCAACATAAATCTCAGATATTATTAAAAGTTTTTCCTTCAATATCTAGCAAAATTACCTAGCGATCTAGAAAGCATAATCAACAATTCAATTTAATTTCACAATTACTTAAATGTCCCTCCAAAACTCTAATTACAGGATTCAGAATTCTCTGTTGATGAGTTCCAGTTAAATCATTTTAAAGTCATGTCCAGCCATAAACTCGAAGACAAATTCTTCATAATTCATCAGCTGAGGTCAAGATATTGGTGATAACATGATCACATTTCCTCTCAACGTCCAAATATTCGCGTCCCTCCTTTTCTTAACAAGTGGCCACGTGGACGAAGGACGACAGGTGGGCGTGAACCCTATGACAGATGACGTCAGAATGACGTGTGATTATGATCTCTTGGCCACCGTTTCGTAGTGTTAAGCAACTTCATGGCTGTTTTCCACTTAGCTGATTTCATCGCCACAGCTCTCAGCTCATATATCTTCATTTGGGCACGCTAGGATTGACCAACAAAGGACATGTATTTCTCCATTCGAAATAGAATCTTATGACTGGGTGTAGCTTTAACTGTATCCAATAGGGAGTTTAAACTTGAATTGAGAAGGAAATTCCTTGGATACATTGTTAGAAATTTAAACACAACAGAAACTATTATGGATTATGTGCTCTTTATTTATATGTTATTCAGGTTATTTCTCTTAATAGTAGAATTATTAAACAATTTGTTTTGATATTGTACAATTAATATTAAACTATTAATGCTCAAATTTTTTAATAGAATATTGTATACTATTTGTGAGGTTAGTGCGAAATATTTTCTCAATGAATAGTGAACTAAAGCAAAACTCTTAAAAAAAATCACATTTATTTAAAACTTTTGAACAGGGCCATCGCGTTACCTAACATTTTAAAATATGCTTTAAATAATAATATTTAGCGGTAAATTAAATTCTTTACATTCTAATTTATTAAAATATTAACACATTACCTTTGCCACCAACAAGAAAAATTTTTTTTTTTGTTGAGACAGAAATTTTTTTGATGTTAGAAGGTACGCTAATGTAAAATGTCGTAAAACTAACTTCAAAAAAACCTGTCTAGAAAGTTTCAAAATCCCAGTTTAGAATAAAAAAAGAAAAGAAAAGTTTTTGTAATTATATATATACTAGGGGGCTCCGCCCCCTGCTCGCTACGCTCGCCAACCCCCAGAACTGCTTCGCAGTTCCATTGCATATTGCTTCGCAATCTTATAAAAACATTTTAACAAATTTAAATTTTAAAATAAAAATGCCAGATATTGAAATCAATTACTTAATGAAATTTATACACTTCTCTGCCCCCTTCACAATTTGATTATCTTTTCTTCATGTAGCTGAGAAATTTGGAGCTGTAGCAGAGAATATATCTCAATAAGAAATGCTTTCCCGTTTAGAATTCCGCCATTCATTTCTCTGACGTCTGCCAGAGATATTTCGACGCCTGATAGCAGGCATTTTATTTAGGCAGCAGGCACTAAATAAATAAAAATAGAACTAAATAACTAAGATATCGTTTTAAATCTCAAATCAAAATAATTGTTTGTAGAAAGTTTGTTTTGGTTTGAATATTCGCACGTTTGTTTTGGTTTGAATATTCGCACGATGCCATTGCCATTCTATTGTAACGAAACAAAAAATTTATCATGAAACTAAAAATTTATCAAAGGAACTAAAGATATTGAATTCTTTTTTTAAGAAATTCAGTTCCGTTTTTTTTTATCCACTCTTATTTTTGTTTATCAATCTATTAATTCAGAAATGCTTTAAATCAAACGATGCTTACGGAAACAATGCTTATGCGAACCACCCGAAAAATGATTTGCTGAATTCTCATTGGTTGAAACTAAATTATTAATTTTATTAATTAATTAAAGGAAATTTTCATAATTTAAGACCTTATTGCACATCTACATAACAATACCTTTAAAACGACACCTTATTTGTTTAATTCTGTTGCGTAGTTTGGGAGTTTTTAGCGAGACAAAATATTGCTAGCCTATTAATATATAGATATTACCATTGAATTAAAGGGTAAATATCCTACCATTGTCTTTTGCAAAAGTATCTTTCCCATTACAGTAAAAGGGAGGCGCTTACTTTCACGGACAGAATTTTC